TGCTGAGATCACTACGGGGCTGTCTTAGAGTGTAGCTGCACTGGCAACCTTTAGGCTAGACTCCAGGGGTCATTATACCAGAACAACATGATTCTACCAGCCAGTAGTTCATTTTTCTACTAGATTGGTGCTACGCTCAGCATTTAGGTGCCAGATTCAGAAAAAAGAGTAAGGCGTACCGATGAATAGGTGCCAGAAACAGCTAATTAAGGTCATTTTCCATGATTGGTGCTAGTATCCACCAAATAGGTGCTGAGGACCAATTTTGGGGCGAGTCAGCTTTTAGGTGCCAGAAATAGCTTTTCTGGGACGCAATTAAATGGCGTCCATATGATTGGTCAACGCGTAATAAGCTTCCGCGTCAATCATTATTTTACATAGAATATAGTTCGTCCTATATTAAAATATAGAAAATAATTGTTTTTACAAAAAGGTTTTATTTTATTTTCTGATCATTTTGAGCATAAAAAATCGTAAATCCATAGCAAAATACTAATTTCAGGAAAGTGAACTGTTTCCTCACTGTTTCCTTTAAATAGCAGGTCCAGCAGAACAAGTAGGAAGCTACCAATTGAGCCTGCTAAAATGAAAGGAATGCCAGAAAACTAGGGAAAAGTTCGTAAAAAGTATGAAGGTGCAAAATACAACCTGATTAGCAAATGAATAGCGCACGATTTAGCACTAAACTGCTAATCTTTTTTAACAGTGCAGGGGTGGATATTTTTGCCGAGCTGGGGTAGCACGTGCTTTCCCAATTCCGCACCGGCTTGTCTTGGTAGCCGCAACAGACGGCGGAGGTCAAGGTCACCGCTAGGGCGGCGGCGGATTTGCTGCGCCCGTGCTACCCCAACTCGGCACATTTGTACATCACTGGCTGCCACTTTTGATAGACGTGCCAGAGCGGTGAAAATACGTCAGATATGTCTCGCGATATGTTCAGCTTGACGATATGGATCGACTGATATGCAACATGACCCTTTCCGGTCAGGTGACCTTGACCTTGACCTTAAGTCAAATTTTCAAAATGATCTTTCAAGGTCAACGAATAGTTCATTCGACGCGTCTCGACGAGAGGAACACGATGCTGCCAAGAATAACGTCGCGGCTCTCTTGAGTCAAAAGTGATTGACGATTTTTTTTTTTCGTGAAAAGGGCTATTTTTACAGTTTTTGCCCTCTGGAGGCTGTAAAAGGGCTATCGAATGCGATTTTCCGCGGGGCTGTAGCTCTACTGGTTCCCGAGTTAGCCGTTGGCAGCTTCCAAAATTATTGAAATTGACTAAATTTGACCTTTGATGACCTTTGGTGACCTGACCTTTGACCTGACCTTAACCCTCGCCGGACCTATTGGTTTTCTACATACGCGCCGGCCGAGGGGGGTACGACCCCCCCTCGCCGTTTCGCCCCTGGTGGAGCTAGCGCGTCGCGGAAAAAACGAGCGTGTGCGCCGTTCCGAGACGCAGAGATTGTTACCCGATTTTAAGGTCCTAGGTCAACCGGTGACCTCTGAGGTCAGGTCAAGTGCCCCAAGGTACGGTTCAGTTTTTGGTGAATAATTTCGCAAAAAACGGCCGCAGAGCGCCGATTTTGGCAGCATCGTGTTCGCCTCGCTCAGGCGCGTCGAATGATATACTTTTTGTTCGGGTCAGGTCAACTTGGGGTGTTGACCTCAGGTCAAGGTCAGGTCAGCCCCCTAAGGTCACGAAGTTGGTCGAAAGAGGTCATGTCGCATATCATTCGATTTGACAGATCTTCCTGAGTCCATTGGTGGCTTCCCCGACTCGCTAGCTCAATTTGATCAAGAGTTATTGACGAAAAACTAATATGACCTTGATGACGTCATAAATGACGTCACGCAAGGTCGACATTGCAAAAGTGACGCATCTAACCTTGCAAGGAGTGCATCAAATCACGATTCTGTGAACTTGAGATAGTAAGAGATCGTTCCCGGCGCCAGAATAGCAGTTTTCATTTTTCCCCATTGACTTATAATGGTGAGGTCACGAAAATGACCTGACCTCATATGACCTTAAGGAAAAATCCGAGATATGCAAGTTGTGAAACTCATAATGGATACTAGATCCTGCAAGTTTCATTTCCCTGTGACATCTCCTCTGGCAGTGAGGGCGTTGCGAAGTTGCGACATCTGAAGACCGTGCAGAGGTTCACTTATGACGTCACAGGTCAGTGACCTGACCTGACCCGAAAATGCGGTTGGTGTCAGAAGATCCGGCTTGAATCAAAGGTCAGGTATGCCAAGTTTCAGCTCTCTATCGCCACCCCCCCTCGGCCGGCGAGGGTTAAAAATGACCGAAAGGTTTTCCGCTACGGTAACCATGTTCAATATTCATTAAATGCAATTGCAGTTATAAATAGAAGTACGACACCGCCTAAATACCAGGAGCACATCATAACGAAAATGAATGTACATCACTCACGCCAACATTTTCCCATAATTAGAATCTGTTAACGACGCGTTTAGCACCATACAGCGCTGGCTAATGCGTCCGGCATCAGTGGAATCGGGAATCCAACGCCATTATCTCGAGACCGAGCATCGGAGACTGCGACGCCTGGCCACCAGTCTACCATGGGCCACTAGCCGACAGTTGGGGCGGGCTCCTTGACTTGCCGGCTACATCATCCGCAGCAGGCTGAAGGCAGCTACCGCTGCAGCCGTTTCGTGGCGCCCAACCGACGGGCCCGGCTTTCAGATCGTGCTGGTATTTGGAGACCAGCTGTTCGGCGGCGCAGGGACAGTGGACACAGATGGCGGGAAAGGGGGGGGGGGGGAAAGCCGTGTGTGGGCCTAGCAACCAGTCGAGAGACCACTAGAAGTTCTATGTTTTCGTTTGTTTTACGTACATTTACCAGCATCCCATGTTTCTTTCGTCAAGACGTCTCGAATGATTTGTAATTGGACTTGATTTGTAATAGGAAAAAAAAAATGAAAAGATGACTAAAGGTCAAGGTCACGAACTAACCAGACAAGTCGATGCTGCATACCTATCAGTTGATCTGTGTTGTTGAGCTGTACCTATGTATAGATACATTTAAGCCGTGCCAGACCGGTGCTCGGCGTCAACCGCGCCGGTCCGGAGGAGGGGTATCTGAACCCTCCCCGTCCTACTCAGCTTCTGGGCCACGTAGCAGCACGCGGTAAGCGGCGTTCGAAGGAGCGTAAAAATTAATGAAGAAAACACTTCGGTCAATTCTTAGGTCGGGTCAAGTCAGATCGTCGACGCCAGAGGTCATCAAAGGTCAAATATTGCCTATTTCAACACTTTTCGAAAATCCGGCAAATAACTCGGGAACCGATAGAGCGCCGCGGAAAAGCGCATTCGAGTCATTTCGACGCTCTTTCACCTTTGGCAACATGTCCTCAGGTTTGACCTCAGGTCAACGGTTTAGCCTGCAGAGGGCAAAACTAGAAAATAGCCGTTTTTATGAAAAATGTTTTACTGCACTAACTTTTGACTCAAGAGAGTGACGAGATTAACCCGCGCCCCGCTGCAGGGGGGGGGAGGGGGGCAGAATCTACTTCCTCCCGTTTTTTGCCAATAACTTCTAAACGCGTCACGCCAGCGACGCCAAACTTTCAGCACCTTATCATACATCAATTTAACACATTTCCTGATAATTTGAGCGACATACGTCGGAATTATTTGAAAAAATGACGTTTAAGTGACGTCATGTCCGCCATTTTCGCCTAAAAAACGGCGAAATTTCAAACGCCGCTAACATCTTCATTTTTAATGGAATCAAGACGTAACAAAAAAGGTTATACGTGATTCTACTTTGTCTATGAAATGGCAATCTCGGTTTTTGAAAATTTTGGATTTTGGCCCATTTTTTTTCTTAAAAAAAAACTAACTTTTTTGGGAAAATAATTATAAAATCCAAAATTTTGAGTGTATCGTAAAAACCAGAATAAATGTCAGAGAAGTGGTCTATGTGCACCTACATAACAATTTGTAAAAGAATCGGTTCAAAAATGTGGGAGTTATTCAAAATGTTATGACGTCACGACACACAAAATATTTGAAAATGAATTTTTTGGAAGTTCCAGAGCTCGTACGGAAACAAAATAGCACCATTCGATTCGCCGTGAAAAACTGCATCAGACAGACACCTTTTAGGTCTTAACAACCAACTTCGAAATTTGACCTCACCTGACCTGATCTTGACCTGACCTCGACCTAAAATTCATCCAGATGTGGTCCATATCACTTATTGAGTGTGACTATTGAATTCTATGAATAAAATGACCCATAAGGCATGTGTTGCACATGCCCTTTTCTATAATTTGTTTTTGGTGACCTGACCTGACCTTGACCTTGACCTTTGCATGATATTGTATGGCGCCGCTGTTTCTGAGATATCTGCGAAAAACCGCAAGGAGTGTTCAAACACCCCCGGCCAGGCGCGGGGGCGTTTTTATCACTTCATGTAGGAGCATGTTTCTGTCAAACGTTATTGTCGAAAATCTTCTGGTGACCTTTCATGGCCTAACACAACCCCAAAGTAGGCATAAGGTAGGGTCCCGGCCCACGGGTGCAATCTTTCAATTCAATGCTCTGTTCGTGCCTATTAGAGTCACAAAATTGACCTGTTAGAGGTTCCCTCGTCCACAACCCGATGTAACGATACCGGATTCGAGTGAATTGATGACAATGAGCTCGAATTAGGCTATCCCGAAAAAAATATTTCAGTAATAATAACTTTATTTTTCACGCACCCCACAGGGCGTTTGACCAGTAGTTGACCCATCCTCTCGCGCTATCCCGTTTCTCTTTCGTCGGTGGCGCCGCAGCTGCAGCGTCGCCGTCTTTCAGCCGTGCCGTCTGGACTTCTCTGCACGCTGGGTGCTGCCGCCGGCCGACTGGTCACGTGGCCGTGGGCTGAACTAGCGGCGGCTGTCACGTGACGGTGGGCGTCAGGTGAGCGCCGCGGCTCGGCGAGCCTCCAGCAGCGGCGGCCGGGCCGGAGCCTGCCGGAGCCAGTAGTGGGCCGGTCGGCGGTCAGGTCGGGTGCGGTAGGGCGCGGCGCGGTGAGGACGTGAGCTGTGTCTGTGTCAGGGTGTCGCCGTGTCAGCGGTGACTCAGTGTCAGTGTCAGTGACAGACATCGGTGGACTGAGGAGCGCGGTGAACGCTGCGGTGACTGGTTTAGTGATCTGGTTGGCAGGCGGACGTGTCTGGTCGAGTGATCGGATTGTTGAACGGTTGCAGACGGTGATCGGGTGACCAGTGATAGGTGATCCGTTGACTGGTGACACGAGCTGTCAGTGCAGCTGGTGATTGGTGACTGTGACTCGCCCTGGTGACGGTCTCAGTGCGCGGCCGTGCGCACCACTAACTGCGTCACTGACGGACGGCAGACGCGCCGCACGCACTCCGGTGACCTTCTGGGCCGACCTGCCGGCCGGCAGCAGACAGCACCCGGAGCTGCCCGGTCCGTCTGCGCCGCGTGCCTGTGGCCGCGGAGTTCGAGCCTCAGCCGTCATATCCCTCCTGACGACTGGCTGCGGACCGGAGTCGGCTGGGGCGATACTTACTGTTACCGGACCATCACCGTCGACATTAGTATTCACGCGGAACCCCGGCCGACCGATACCACAGTGAAAGTACCGGCGTCGTTCGGGCCGCGTCGCCGGCTGTGCGTTCGACACCTGTGACTACAAGTTGTCCTGGTCGGCGTTCGGACGTCAACATCGTGCCTACATCACCGAACTAGTCGCGATCCACGCGAAACATTCGTGACGGCCAAATCGTGACTGTGATCGCTGTGCGAGATTGCCCAGGACCGGTGGTGTGCTGTCTCTGGCCCAATCTGTGAGATCAGTGCTTCGTCCGTGTGAGCGTCGGTGACTGGTCGGCGGCACCTTCTGCGCCCGCTGATTGCCCACGGCGCCCAGTACTCGCTCTGATTGACGCGGTGCGCGGCGTCCGGGACCGGGGCGCGGCGCGTGTCGGTACCCGGTCCTGCCTCTGACGTCAGCGGTCATGGCAGTGGTAACGGCGCAGCAAGCGTCACCTGAGTGCGGCGAGGCTGGCGCAGCGGCGGCGGCGCCGCACCGCTGACCGAGTGAGCCGACAGCTGGTGGCCGAGCTGCGCCAGCCGTGTGGTGGGCGGGCTGCGCCAGCGCCGGTCAGATGGAGCCGCAGGCCGAGCGCGAGCGGCCGCCGCCGGTCTCCGCCGCCGGCCGCTCCGAGCTGGAGCTACCGGCACCGGCCCGACAGGAGCAGGAGTCATTCATAGACGAAACGGAGACGGAGACGGAGTCTGGAACGGACACGGAAGGCAGTGAGTCAGAGACTGAGGCCGAAATGGAGGGGCGTGGCTCGCGCGGGAGCGGCAGCCAACACTCGGGAGCGTCTGATCAGGAGGCCGAGAACGAGGAGCGTGATCAGCACGCCTCTGATGAAGAGGAGGAAGAGGAAGACGAGGAAGAAGAGGAGTGTGGGGACTGTGAGGAGGACGACTGTGAACAGTGTGAGGGCGCCGTGGGGGGACATTTCTCGGACGCTGAGGAGATGGCGCCGGAGCGGTCGGCGGCGGCCGGTGCCGGTGAGGACGATGAGGAGGCCGTGCTGCGCGAGCTGGCGCGCTCCTCGGCGCCGGCGCCGGCCACGCCCGGCCTGGACTCGCTGCGCAGCGAGTCGGGCATCTGCTCGTCGCTCGAGTCCAGCTATCAGGAGGAGGCGGTGGGCGCGGCCGGGGCAGCTGCTCAGAGCGACGACCAGCTGGCGCGGCTGCGGCGCGACCTGGCGCGCGAGGCCCGCCAGGAACTGCGGCACGCCATCGCCGCCAAAAACGAGGAGCTGCGGGAGCTGCGCAGCCAGCTGCAGCTGGGCCGGCAGCGGGCGGCCAGCGCCGAGCTGCTGGGACAGCGGCGGCCGGGAGAGCTGCCTCAGCAGCAGCAGCAGCTCAGCCGGCTCCGAGAGCGCATCAAACGGCTGCAGACCGAACGCGAGGAGCTCAAGGCTGAGGTGCGTGCTCGAGTCCCCCACACTCTCTCATTCACTCCCTCCCCTCCGGTGGGTGACACGAACACACGTACCGGAACCGACACACTAGCTGTGTGACGGAGCCTTAAATACACGGCTTTTTACCCTCAGACACGTTCTTCCCACAAAGTCAAGACGCCGCTTCATCACCGTAATATTCAAAACCCGTCTTCAGGTGCAGCGCCGGGCGCCTTGGTCACGACTCACGAACAGACCCAGTCTCGGTAGATTATCGTGAGTCTCACTTTACGGGCACCCGGCGGGAGCGTCACGGCTGGTGTGACGCTAGGCTGTGTGACACCGGCTGACCCAGTCCCGAGTCACAGAGCCGTGTCACGGACTCATGGCCAGCCACCGCGCCGGCAGACACGCAGAGAAACACGAACGCGGGCGCACAGTGGGGTGAAGCGATGACGATAGTACCGGCTCTGGGAGTGTAGGGAGTGAAGGGAGGGAAGGGCTGGCTGGAATGTTTCCGATGGCTAGCTGCACTGTCAGTGCGTTGGTTTCCGCAGTGCAGGCTGACTGCAAATGTGTGTGTTCCTGTATGTTTGATGCAGTCTTGCAATGCAATCCAGCCATCCAAGAAACTTTGCGCGAGACGTTTTCTTGGATGGTTTTCTTGGATAGCTTGATTTCATCGAGGGCTTCTGTTTTAAAGAAAATTTGTAAGCTTTGCTGCACTATTAAGTAATTAGAACTGCCAGTATTTCAGTACCTAACGTGTAGTTAATGTTACTGTATTTTATTTATGCATATTTCGGCCTTTTTTAACCCGCGCCCTGCTGGGGGTCCTGGATTTCCACGCCCTGCTGGGGGGGGGGGGGGGTGTTCAAACACCCCCCCTTCTAACTCGGCTCCTGGGCCACGTAGCGATACGCGGAAGGCGGCGTTCGAAAGAGCATAAAAAATAATGACGAAATCACTTCGGTCAATTTTTTGGTCAGGTCAAAGGTCAGGTCACCAGAGCCCAGAGGTCATTGAAGGCAAAATTTCGCCGATTTCCAGGTCGAATGTCGACAATTTCCAAGAAGCCAACGCATAACTCGGGAACCAATAGAGCTACAGCGCTGCGGAAAAGCGCATTCGATAGCCCTATTAGCGCTCTTTCTGAGTAATTCTCTCAGATTTGACCTAGCGTCAACGGTTTTGCCTGCAGGGGGTAAAAACTGCAAAAATAGCCGATTTTTTCGGAAACAGTTTTTCTGCAATAACTTTTGACCCCAACCTTGTACGAGCTTACTTTTACCGGCATCGTGTTCCTCTCGTCAAGACGCATCGAATGAACTATAACTTGACCTTGAAAGGTCAACTTGAAAATTTGACCTCAGGTCAAGGTCATGACCTGACCGGAAAGTGTCATGTTGCATATCAGTCGATCCGTATCGTCGAGCTGAACACATCTAAGGTGTTTTCATCGCTCTAGCATGCCTCTATCAAAAGTTATTTGCGAAAAACTGTTAGATACCATTCGTGACCTAAGATGACCTCAGGGGCATAACCAGGGGTCACGGACACCATTTTCATGTTCAGTGTGTCTAAACCACTTGTAATTCAGTGTTTGGGAGTGTTTATAATGCTTTTCGTCCAAAATAGGCGCATTTCAATTTTCTCCCATTGACTTATAATGGGGAGGTCGCAAAATTGACCTGACCTTAGGTCATCGATATCAAAATTCTGAGATATACATTTTGTACATGCTATTGCTCTTAGTAATCGCTGAAAGTTTCAAAGCGATCGGTCACTCGGTGTAGCTATGGCAGACATTGAAACTTTTTATGAGGTGAGGTCACTTCAAGTGACCTGGTGACCTGACCTTGAATGACCTTGGTCTGAAATTTTCACAACATGTGTAGAATTGATGTATGATAAGGTGTACCAAAAACGGCGGCGCTCCGCGCCGCCGTTTTTGAGATATCCGCGAAAAACCACAGGGGGGGTGTTCAAACACCCCCCCCCCAGCAGGGCGCGGGTTAAGCAGATAACGAGCGATATTAAGAAACATACAGGAAATAATATCTAGGACTCTATACCGCGACGAAATATTTCTATCTCGAGTTTTCAAAGAATTTCATGCACTCGGCCAAGGCCTCGTGCATGAAATCCTTTGAAAACTCTCGATAGAAATATTTCGTTTTCGCGGTATCGTCCAAGAATTACCCCGTTTACATGAGTCAGCGAAAATGACGTTTAGAACGGATATTTCCGTTTAGCGAAAAGTGCGCAAGTTTCGACTCATGTAAACTGGTTTGGGCGCGCAAAAATGACGATTACGCGGAACGGAAATATCCGATGAATTAATGGGAAATATCCGTTTAGGACGTCAGGCCTAAACGGATTTTTTGCACATCTAGCAGAAAATGACATGAATATGCATGTTTTATAGATGAAATTTTTTAGTTTACACATCAAAATACATATTTATCTTTAATGGTAGGTCTAATGACAATGAAATCCACTTTTTGCCCCTGATTTTGCGCCATTGTGGCAGATTCATAAAGCACCTACATAAGTGTTGAGAGGAACGTCCTATGCTTCAAAAGGGAAGCATTCTAGTTCAGGGGTAATTTCCTTATTTCTTAGATTCAACAATCAGGGTTCAATTCCAGGACAACCAACATAGCCTTCCCAGCCAGTCGCTCCCTATAGCCACTTGTAACAGCATGCTAGTGCCATTTAGTGCTTGGTACACTGGATATGATGCTTGATTTATTTTGCTTTAGTACCTACATGCTCCCAAAAATTTTCTCTACCTTGGTACTTCAAACTTCCTAGCAGTGATTCAGATAACTTATGCTTCAGCGAACAGCCACCAGACGGCAGGGCACGCAGGCTGGTTGGGACAGTAACTTGGCTGCATGCCAAAATATACACAAGACACACAGCCAAATTTACTCAGTGACACTGCCATCTGCCCCCCCCCCCCCAATATTTAAATGTTCACCTTATTGTTCCAAAGAAGTAGATTCTTCAGTGGTGGGAAGGTCTCTGAAAGTTTGGTTAATTTCGGATGGTGGAAGCAGGCAACTGGCAGGTTTTGTGGAATTTGTAGAATCATACCTAACCTTACCTACCAACCTAACTTTCAACCTACCATCCTTCAAACACACCTACCTACATGCCTACAACCTATTATACCAAACTACTTCCTACCAATCTACAAGGTCAACCAACCTACCAAACCACATAGGTACCACTCGGATTTCATCTTCACATCTTGCCTGGTGTGATTGAGAGTGGATTATTCTATGCATTTTGAAAATTGCACTGATAGTGTCTTAAAGTTTGGTGGTGAGTAATGTAATTTATGTTATGACTAAAACACATGGAAATGATGGATACTGTGTTGCATCCGACAGTCAAGCAATGCACCCACACCACAGGTCACATCTACTACACCATTCTCCTAGTACTGATCTGAACCCTGTCTTTGAAGAACTGAGCAGCTAAAAGCAAAAAATGAAAATAAAATGCTGGAATATTCAAGTGCTTCAAATGTGTCAACCAAAAATGTATACACAATCCCGCACCACCCACTTTCATACCAATGTTTTCTGAAGTGTGGCACCATCCTGCACATCCTGTCATGCATTTTTATTTTGTCAACTTACTGGAGGTCCATCATGATGAGCTATGACTATTATGAGCTGTCTTAGCCTTTTTCTGAAACCAAAAAGACTTTCAATATAGATGTGCTCTTCAATGTTGTCCAAGACCTCAATTGTTTTCTTGCTTTCTGACAGTTAATCACACTTCTTTTACAGCACACAAGTAAAATAATGGCTTGTGCCATGATTATTTCCAATTCTACATACAAAACTTTAAAGAATCAAGTAAATTAAGCCTAAAACAAGCACAAATAATGCTTGATAGGAGCTGCGCCAGACATGTAAAAATGCGCAAAATATCCGTATTTTTCGGGCTGCCGGCGTAAAGGGAATTATCCGTTCCGGAACGGATTTTTCCGATAAGGCTCATGTAAACGGGGCCACCGAAACGCATTTTTCCGTTCCCTGGCTAATCGGATATTTCCGTTTAGGCTGAATGACTCATGTAAACGGGGTAAATGTATAATGTCATCACTGGCTGTCAGTGGTCCGCCCCATCACTGCACAGTGCACGGCCCAGTGCAGTTCTGTGTTGGGCGATAACGCGGGTCGCCTACTGACAGTACCGGGACTGGAACAGCACTCATGTGGCTTCATTCAGCGCTCGGCGCAGACACCTCAAATTTAGACGTCTCCGGGAATAATAGCTCGGTTCGGATGAGTCATGCCGTTGTCACACGTCTCCAAGAACGCGGCCAATCCACTCGTCAAACCTGATCCTGGTAGGCGGCTCCTCAGAGCGGTTAGTTATGGCATATGGACCGGGCTCAACCTGATGTTAAATTATCACAGATGTTAATGGAAACGAAACATTTAGCTCGGAATTCAAGAAAATAGCATTGCAATGAAAACTTCAAAACATCATGATTAGGTATATTCAGGAAGGTATCGTGTTCGTATAACTAAATGAACGAAATTAACGGCAACAGCAACAAAATATCGATGACCTGATGGAACGGCCACTCTTCACGCGATTAGGCGAAACAGGAAGCTCTGATTTGCCCGCCGCCTGTCCAGACAGCTGGATATAATCTGCAGCCCACTTCTGAGCCGGACCGGTAGCCGGCCCCGCGGGCGAGTGGACGCGCTTTGCCGTGTTCTATTTGTCATGATCTCCGCATTACGAGCTGTCCTCGATTTCCCCGCATGTTTTGTATGGTCGAATGAAGATGATATCTCGGTCGTGGTCTCCACGTTCCCAGACGGGTATGCGGAGTATGCCAGAATTTCTGACGGGAGGAGCGGCGGGACAGAGTGCCGAGGACCGCTGTATTACGCCTCTTCGGCGGTATGAGGGTGTCGTCAAAGGATCTCGGTCAGAAGTGGTGTGCCGGCCGCCAAACCACCCGAAAACTGGGCCAGCAACGGCAGCAG